TGCTTTCTTGTCTCACAGGTTCTCATGGATCCTGGAGGAGCCTCCTGCCATGGTCCTGCTTGACTACCATTGCTAAAATCACTGATATTATTGTTTTTATTATTATTAGTTATTATTATTGCTACAGTTACTGTTGTTACTGTTGTCGCTGCTCGCTGTCCCCCATCGTTCACATGGTGGTACTGTTGGGAGACTGTAAATGTTATAAGGAATTCGGTCTAGACCTGCTCTATTTGAAAAGTGTTGTGAGATATTATGAATTGGCGCTATACAAATAAAATAAAAAAATTGAATTGAATAGCATCACGGTACGGTGCTGGAGGAAGATTGTTCCAGTGTGTACTAGCTGCATAACCTTGAAATTATATGAAGCTAACTGGGTGCCAGAATCATGCACAGACAAAGCATGGAGATCATCCACTTTCTTTAAGGAACACCAAGCAAGGAGAAGTCCAGTCTTGTATAAAAAAAAAACCCAAAGGACCTCAAGCAACAATGTGAAGTCCCATGAAGGAATACTGGACTTGCAGTAACTCCAGGCGTAAGCCATTATGTGTTATGTTCCCAGTGGGAATTCTCCCTTGAGGTAAACAGATCAACAAATGCTCTGCCCATATATCCAATATTTGAGCAACCACCAGCTGATGTTACCTGCACTGTCTTATAGAGAGACACTCAGGTCAGAAGTCATTGTTTGGAACAACAAATTCCGGCTGTAACAACATTTCTTCACTTCTGAAGGAAGAACCACCTGAAATTGTAACTGATAACCCATCGCAACTGTTTCTCTTTCTACACATGCTGAACCTGTGCATGCACATCACTCTGGGAACCGACTGGAAGCTGACTGACTGCACAGAAGGGAGAAAAGCTACAGCCCTCTGGTGAGCAAGTGGGCGATGATAATATATTTGGTTTATTTGACAGGCTGTATTCTGAGCACAAAATTTACCATCTATGAACTGAAAGGGAATTGTGTTAGTAGTCTGTGGTGATCCCAAGCGCCAACCTGGCTGGCAAATGAAGCCAACACGGAAGTAACATAAACTGCAGTTCCTCAATTAGCCAATTGGCTACAGTAATGAGAGATTGCCCTAAGGCGCTATATTAAAATGAAACTTGGAAAAAGATGTTACACAAAACGGTATAAAAAAGTTTTAGTCTTTATAACTTAATACCCCATTTATGACTGTAATTGTAATTTTATAAAGGAGTATGGTCAAGACGTGCTCTATTTGAAAAGTTTCCTGAGATAACTTCTGTTATGAAGGCAGGTCCTCTCTTAGCTAAAGAAACATTATATGCTAAACAAGTCTATGCTAGCTAAATCTGTAGGGTCAGGTGTTCTTATCTAGCAGTATAGAGAGTACACCGCTATCATCGAGTCCATCCTCACCTCTTTCATCACCATCTGGTGCCACTGCCAAGGACAAGGGCAGACTGCAGCGTATCATTCGATCTGCTGAGAAGGTGATCGGCTGCAATCTGCCATCCCTCCAGGACCTGTACGCCTCTAGGACCCTGAGGCGTGCAGGCAAGATTGTGGCTGACCCCTCCCACCCCGGACACAAACTCTTTGAAACACTTCCCTCTGGTAGGAGGCTGAGGTCAATCAGGACCAAACCCTCACGCCACAAAAACGTCTCTTCTTTACGTCTGCAACTGGCCTCATTAACAGGACCGGAACCTCCACTGACACTGACTCTTAAACCCACCCTGTATTTATGCATTACATTAATGCACTCCTGTTTTCTGTACAGTTTTCTTATCTTTCTTATCTTTATTTATTTATATTTTAAAAGTACTCTATTTTTGTGTGATTTGTATATTTTATGCACCAATGTACCAAGACAAACTCCTCGTATGTGTAAAAATCTACCTGGCAATAAACCTAATTCTGATTCTGAATTCTAATTCTAGAGCATAAGAACTGAGCAATGACTGTGGTGACTGACACAGGTCATTAGTCTTTTAGGTGTAAATAGAGGTGTGTTCAATCAGGCCATAAAAGAGGTGTGTTATACCCTACTGTATGTGTTGTTGTAAATTGTTGAGTAAATTGACTGAAAGATGCTATTTACCACCATAACACAGTCTTATCACACTTAAGTTTGTTCTACAAAGGTATCCAGTATTTGATTATGCTACCATCTTTTAAATTAAATCATAGGGGTACCGAATAAAAATATGACAGATGGGAGTGAGTGGCCAATGAGTCAGTCAATAAAGAGGATGATTGGCTATAAAGTAAGAAAGGAGTAGGATAAACAAGGATACCACTGAGGATCAGGGAAGGAAAAAAAGGGAAACCTTGAGATGGGTGAAAACACAAAGAAGAGGACTGGAAATAAGGAAGGAGAAGAGGGCAGAGGAGATAGGTTAGGATGGGTGGAAAAGAGGAAAGGTAAGAAATAAGGGATAGAGGAAGTGAGCAAACTGTTGGGTAAAGAGTGTACAATGGAAAGGAGTATCACAGCCACATACAGTTTTGACCAGATACCTTGTAAGCAGTGTTTACACTCTATTGTGGTCTCCATGTTACCATTTTTTGTTGAGAACAGCTGCATTCACATCATGCCCTGAATGTACAATAAATCATACCACTCAGCTATGTAAGGCAACCACCAATGGCAATGTTTGTCTCATTACTGTGATGATTTTAAGAAGCAAATATAAGACAAGTACATGCATTTTAATAAAATCATACTATTTATTTGTGTTTTTTTTCACTTGAGAAAAGTTTATATTGAGCTTTATCTTTGTAAGAAAAGGAAAACAAGCACTGGGCTGATAAGGGTCTTTTTTTTATTAATTTTTGCCCTATTGCAGACCTGCATGATTATGGCTATAAAAATGGCCTCTACTATAATAGCTAAATTCACATCTCTTGTGCTGTTTCTCTTTTTAATACAAATACTGTATTATTCACTATCTCGCTTTTGTGCTTAAGTAACTGCTATTGAAACTAAACTCTTCCTGGAGATGCTTCACATTAACATTAGCAGAAAAGAGAAACATTTGAGTCACTGGAAGACACAAGAAAATTAACTGATGGTAGCTTAACAGCGAAAAAAAGGTTTTCCACAAGTTAATATTTTGGTCAATGAGGCCCAATGAAAATGCAATTTGCCATTGAAGCTGCCATGCACCACCATAACATGAATACAGCTGTTTGGAGTTGGTGTTTGATGGTATGCATTAATGCCAATTAAAAGTTAACTGTCTAAACATTGTCTATGACTGTGAGGTGAGGAAAGTTTTAGCCATCAATCATCACTCTCCTACCCGTGTTAGATCTTGACGCTCTCAATGCCGTAAACGTTGTAGCCCTCTTTATAGGTGGCGTAGTTTGGCTGGTGGCTGGGGGACAGCAGGTTGAAGTTGGGGGCTTGTTGAGGAGAAGACAGAGTGTGTGTGTAGTTTCCTGTGTGCTGAGGGGACGGCAAGGTGTTGGCTGCCACCTTTATAACAAAAATAAAGTCATTGTTATTGCTATACCCATTAGACTATTACTATTACTAATTCACGTGACAACATTTTGAGTACTGGTAGCACCAACAATAGATAATTGAAAAAGCAATTGGATTTTTGCACTACAATAGAGAGAGATTTGCCATACTTTCAGTAAATACAAGGGAAATAAACTGTGATAAAAATATGTATAATATGTGAGTTTTCATTCTTAGCCAAAATAATTTTGAATGAGACTAAAAATAATAAGCAGAAAAAGGAAAGACAAAGAACATGAAAAAGCAGTATATTGACTCGAGAAAATGTTACTAAAATTTGTAATTTTTACTTACTAGTATGGGCTTATATTTGTGCCAGTAGAAACTCAATTTGAATCATTTAGAACTGAAT